CCGATCGGGGGCCCGTGAAGGGGCTCCTCCCCGCCTCAGGGTCGGGTTGGGGGGGGCTTGGCCGCGACGCCCCGCCGGAGCGGTGGGGCGTGCCCGCACCGGCTGAACCTCCGCCGTGGTGGTGGTCGGCCTCGGACCCCGGCTCGGCCGGAGGACACACGGGGTCATCCTGGAAGAGTTGCGTGATCTTCCGCCGAGTTGCCTCCCGCCTGGAGTCGAATTTTAAGGCGAAGCCAGGAGAAGAGGGCGCCGGGATGGGATAGGAATGCTGCGGTTTCGTCTCCCACTTGTCAATCCTGTAGTCAGGATTATTGACGAAGTGCGCTTCGGATAAATTTGAGGGATCGAACCCACTCATACCGTCCAACAAAAAGCTCGTTCCGGCTGCTGAAGGTAAACTATCAGTTGAAATATTGGAACTTAAGCTTTCCTTCTCATTGTTTTTTAATTTTTCCACAACTGGCTTTATCTTCCTTCCCCAAAAGGAGCTTGAATTACTCTTATCATTCTTGTCTTTAGATGAGGATCCATATCGCATTTGATTGCATATCGCATGTACTGCCAATGTGGCGGTCTTTGTGGAAACATAATTAAGAATGAATAACTCATTACCTGGATTTAAAGCATGATGTGGGCGTATGGACAGACCTAAGAATCGCTTGGACATGAAATTTTCTTTGTTTGGTATCAATATTAGCCTTGATAACAAGGAAATTAAAAAATATAGCAATGGATAAGAATATAAGGGGAAAAATAATAGTTTTTTCTAATATGTACAGGTCGATATCCCTGCATTCGTAGCAGTGGCTTGAAAAATAATCAAAGAGATCACTATAATGTACCAAGATATTGGTCTAAATGAACTTCAGAGAAATGAAATTTGCTTAAGGTATATGTTTCAGACAAAAGGTGTACACCTCCAGTTCAAGTAAATATATGCTCTGAAAATCTATTGAGCTATGTCTAACACGGGGAAAAAAAAGGTGTTTAAAAGGCAAGACAAATATGCTTATTTTACGCATCCGTGGTGTTCACTATAGGCGAATACTTGGCCTAAGGAACATTATAATGCAGAAAAGGGGTACAACAACCTTCAATGATACGTGAAAGATCACGCCTAGCTGCTCAGATAATAGACCGGCTGTATTTAAATATTCAACCGATAGCTATTTAAATACTGTTATTGTCTACATCTACTTTCCTTTTCTATTTAATGCGCATGAATGAAATATTTTCACGATTGGCTAAGATGTAGAATTGCTTTCATAGTTGCTGTAAATCAGCAAAAAGGGGGAAGTTATGTCTATTTTGCTCATTCTATTCTGTGTACTATTTTTCTGAGCTTAAAATGGCTGAACATAAAGAGAGGAAGCAAATGAAAAATGCATGGTAACTGTACAAAAAAAAAAAGAAGTAGTTTTAGACTTATACTTAAAAGATAAAATGTATACCACATACTACAGTCTAACCAGCAGGAAAAAACCTTGGATTTTAAGTGGGAATAAAATGAATAATCATTGAAAATACGATTTTCGTTTAGATCCTCTCCTCTGAGCAACGCTTGGAAAAACATTCAGTTGAATTATACTAATGTAAGTAGTTGTACTGATAATTTTACCACTTGTTTTTTCTGATGTTCCTATAAAGAACATTTGTAGATGAAGTACAGATAGAATTTTTTAAGAAAAACACTTTAAGGTATCCCTCAAAGACTACTGTAAGTTGTATGTTAACAATACTGCTATGACAGATTTAGTGTGTCCTACAAATACCGTGGATTGAGGCCTGTCTGAGGTTATATTGTTCCACATCCGAACATGGCAATCACTACTGACACTGAACAAAAACTGGGAACAATCGCTGAAGACACAATCCCAAACCCATCGGGTATGATCCGTTAATGGTGGTAAAGGCTTAAAATATAACTTCAACTCATGTTTATTTCTTTGTTTGTTTGGGGATATTGCATTTTCACCTTTTAAATCACTAGATTTTTTACCCACATCAAGTTCAGATCCACCACAAAAATCAGCACTAGGTAAATTTACATCAGTTGATGAAATATTACCAATAGCAGTTCCAGACCTTTTTACTAATAATGGCGGTTCTTGTTTGGTATCTTTATTCTGAAGAAGAGATGACGAGGTGATATCTTTCGTGACGACCTCGTTCACATCTTCCACTTGGTGTTTCTGGCCTTGTGATGATTGCACACCTTCTCCAGCATCGTGAACATCACCATAGACCACATCTGCCCCTTCAGAAAGTTTGCTAGAGGTATTTGGATTATCAGCTGATTTTTGAACTGCGTCCGACGCACAGCCTGTTTGCATAGGTGGATCCAAGACCGTTTTGACAGCTTTCTTCGCATTAGCGCTGTCGTTAATTTCATTCTGTAAAGTAGGTGATAAGTTTAATTTGAGGGCATCAGCTTGCTGTTTTGGGCATATCGTATGTGACTTTTTTTCAGACTTTGACACTTGGACGGTGCCTCCAACGATTTCCTTTCCCCTTCCTCGCATAATCTCAGGAATTATAAACCGCCCCACCGTGTAATCAGCGCAACAAGTCGACAGCAACTCTCCATTAGGTGATATGATTACTTTGAGAATGTACTTATAATGTGCCTGAAAGGTATGAAATTCTTCCGTTTCCATCTCCTTTTGCAGTGCAAGTTGTAATCGACTGGTTACCGTGAGTGATGCCAAAAGTGAGCTCGGGGACGGTGCCCGCCTTTGGGGCGTGAAATTGACCTTGTCGTTCCGATTCGCCAGGTTCTGTGGCGTACTCGAACTTGGATATAGTTCGCGGTTATGGTTACCATGGTAATGCAGCTCTAATTGGGGAAGTCGAGTCGCATCCATCTCGATGCTGCCACCACGGCAATCCCCTATGCTAAGGTTAGGGTCGCCCTGTAAATTCACAGTACGTGGACTACGGTGTCCTATGGCAACATTTTGATCGAATGAAGACTTTAGTTGGGTGCTAAGGTCATTTGTGGGAAAGGTAGGGTGATCAGAACTCCCGTGTGGAATGGCCTGTGGAGACCGGTTATTAGTACTGCACTCAGCCTCACTATGAAGCCGCGGAACAGACGAGGAGTTTCCCTCAGGATTGCCCGACTCATAAGGGGCCGTTGGAACAGGACCCACGGCCTCTTGTACGAGTTCTCCAGACACACACGGCTTTAAAGACTGAATGGTTTTGGCTGATTTGGTGCCATAGAGTGAACCATCATGTGCGAAACGAAAAAAGTGCAGCTTCCCTTGGTTTGTGGCCACAACGAACCAGCGAGCGAGTGGATCAATGGAGATACTGCGCACGGATGTGTAGTCACCTTCCAAAGCAAACTCGTGAACAGGTCGCCTGCCAAACTTGCTTATGACAGCGGCTCTCTCTGCGGCTTCTTGTGTATCAGCTGAAGCCGCCTCAATAAATGCACCTCCATCAGCTGAAGCGGTAGGGCACCATTGTTGTTGTTGTTCTCGCGCGATGCCGGTGATGATTGTCGGAAGATGCCATACCGACACTTGGCCGATTTGATTCCCTGTAAGCAAAAAACGAGAATCAGGTGAGAGACAGCTACATGTGATGGCAGCACCGGTGGTGATATCCCTGAGAACACTCATCGTGTTCGGAGTTTTTGCGTCAAAAAAACGAATGTGGCCATCCTCGCCGGTAGCGTATAAAATAACACGCGTATCATTAGTTGCAGAACTTAAATGTCTTTCAGGAGATTTCAATGATATTGCTGCAGGTGAAAAATCGAAGGGCGCTACGGTGCCATACTCGTAAGTAGAAAAAGATGTGTCCACTACATTCACGTTGTCATTAAAGCGCAAATTCCTTTCGTCTACCACCCTTTTCCTTGGAAGGAGAGGAAATGAGCCAAGACTTGTAAAATTTATACTGCCTTGTGTTTCATACGAAGAAAAAATAGATGGAGGTGCAATCACTGTTTGACCTCCAGGAGCAGTGGTAACCATTTGCTGTTGTTGTTGTAAAACTTGAGAACCTACAATATTACCGCAGTTGATGTCTTTCAGATCATACAAACGAATCACATTATACCCTGCTACAGCAAGATAATGGGTTTGATACACTAGATGAATGGCGTTTACTTGAGAATCTTGGAAGGTAAAGCAACAGACAGTGCGACCTGTAGTGGCGTTCCAGCAGCGAATTTGCTTATCATATGAGGCTGATATAACAATAGTACTAGACATTATACTTTGACCTCTATAATTATTCTTCAAATCTATTTTTAAGATTCACCTTTTAAAGAGGAAAATTTTTTATTGGCAAATACTGAAAGAATATTTGGTTCTAATAGGCCCTTATCGAACTGTATTGAATTGTAAATAACTAAAAGTTAATCAATTTATTGAAGACTAGAGAAAATTGATAAGAGCAGAAGAAATAAAAAAGTCATTATGGATGAGAATAATAATAATTTTGCCGAAGAAAGAGCTTAATTCTTTTATCTGTTCGTATAAGGATAATTAGATGATGTTTTTCCCTTTTATTAAGTCAACATCGAAGCCAAGCAAAAGGACAATAGTGTCGATGTAAAAAAAAACTAGGACCACGCGGTTAAAGACTGGTAGGGTGAAACGGGCACTTAAGAAATTAAAACTCGGCAAACATTTCTCCATAATCCAGCAGAAGTGTTCTAATCGGGAACTTTCATCTAAACACTGCGCTACCGCTTGATTGCTGCGGTGAGGGTCCATCGAATGATGGGGTAAAATGAACTCGTGATCACTGTTCGGGTCATAGTGGTGTACTGCTAGTGGATCGAGAGATCACCAGAGAATGTTAAGTTGAGGATGGTGTGGTTAGCTCCTCTGGCAAAGGTGCACACCCAATTCGATTTCTTAGAAGGAATCCACACTTTGTTATTTTTTCCATAACGATATTTTCTGTGTCGTTTCCAAGTGATCTCAGCATCGGGTTCCATAAAAGGTGATGTAGATTAAAAACACAGCAGAAAATACAGAGGTCATCATCTACTTTATAAAGCAGTTTGTTAAGGAGAAAACTAGTAATTGTTGTGTTGGGGCATATGTATACACTAGCCAATAAAAAGGTCAAAATTTTTATAGTGGTGTGTACAATAATGACCTCAATATTTTCTTCTGTATAGGGAAATGTTACTCTCTCGACGTCGATCTTAGCACTATTTTTAATAATGATAGCAACTACCCCATCATGGGCGTTTTGAAAATAGAAAAATGTATTGTAGCCTTTCATTCTGAATCTACTGGATCTTTTGGTGGTGTAAACTGTTGGGCTGGTCTTGTAGCAAAGCGGTGCATTTCACAGCGTTTAGGAAATGAACGTTTCATTGGAGTACCAAAATGTAACTAGGGTTCATATGGATGATACTACAACACAAAAAAAAAAGGTACCTAGATTCTCACAAAACATGAGTGAAAGGCAAATTAAATTTATAAAGCGCCAAAAACGATCAATTGAAGTAAACACTTCGCTCGGGCATCATTGGAAAAGATGCTGATCTACGCCCTAGGTGCAGCATCAGTAGGCCGTCCTACAAGACACATCCTACGGAGGAATAACTTGCAACTACATAGCATCAGCATTTTAGGGCTTCAAATCTACAGCACCAGGTAAAGTTATCTGGCATATACCGCTGAGTAATGTACACACATATAATCCCAGTATCAAAGTTGTAATCAATGATATATAGATAGAAAAACTACTACAACAAAATAGTATTTGTGCTTTTCCGCAAATAAGCCTTTGTTCTAGACAACATGTAAATCATGAATACTTACTGAGAGAGATTGCATCTTGTAAATAGAAATCGTGATTCACATGGTACCACATAATCATCCAGAAGAAACCATTGAAGGGTTGTTGGAAAAAAGATAATATTTAAAATCCCATGTGCTCAGCTTTGATTCTTTACACAGATTATTAAAGTCTGACAAAGATAAAAAATGAATTCCATCAGGATTGTTCTTTGGTAAATCGTATCAAAAGAAATCAAATTATAAATAGAAAAATAATAAAACTATAAGCATCATAAAAAATTTACTGATATACGCTGGTTTATATTTTTATCAGCGTAGAGCTTAAATCATCCATAGAAATATTTAGTGAATTTGAAATAAAAATACTAAAAATAAAAAATGAAAAAAAGCATATGAGGCAAAAATAGTCACAATATTAAAGCAAATATCTGGAATAAATATAAAGTAAAATAAGGAAATCTATAAGAAATTTAAAAATAGATATTGAAGAAAACTATAAATTTTTAATTCCTTATAAGAATTTAAGAATAAAAATATTTAAAAAAAGTGAAAAAAAAACGAAATAAAAATAATAAGCACAATATAGTTAATATAAAAATCTGCGATGTCAAACAAAGAAAAAGAAAAATTCCACATAATAAAAGGATCGTTCAGATAGAAAAATCGAAAATGTATTCAACAGAAGTACTGTATGAATATTAATAAAATTAAAGATCTTAAAATGTATAAAATAAATCCTATTTCTGATATCTCAACAATCACTGACGTATAAATAAAAATGTATTATTATAATTAGATGATAATGCAATTTATCTCCGAATATCTAACGAAAAATAAAGAAACCAATCCCTACACGTTTTATTATTTTAGCACACTTATTAAGAAAATAGTGATCACTCACTAAACTAATGAGGATGGGAAGGTCGGGGTGATTGTTTCGCAATGCCGTGTTAGATACACAGCCACCAACCCCACCACACTCAAAGGTTAGATTGCCGTTCATTGTGAATAATCAAGAGTAAATAAAAATATTTTAAAGAATATAGTTTCTGTGGAAAATCGATTTTGTATAAAATGGCTTAGGGAGCTTTCATAAGCTCCTTGATTCCACTTTACTGACCGTTCGCTATGTGCATAAATATGGGAGAGTAAGATACCCCTCATCACAAAGACAGAAAGGTATGAATATAAATAAATAAATAAATAAATTCGCAATGACAGATATTATGTGCACTAAAAATAATTATAATAAATAAATCGACTGTCGGACATGAGCTCACCATGGTGCCTCTTACAGCTTGTCTTCAGATGTGGTGTTGGGTATCAGTAGAGCATGATCACGATGGCCAGAGTCGCCAAGACGACAAAAAACCAATGTGGCAGGGCAGTGGCGGCGCCGAATGGGAGCATGCAGCCGCTAGATTTGCCGTCCTTATTCTTAGTGGGACCAGCTTTGGGAGGGGTCGCAGGCTCAGTGGAACCAGGAGTGGAAGGGCCCACAGGCTTAGCGGAACCAGGAGTGGGATGGCCCACAGGCTTGGCAGAACCAGAAGTGGGAGGGCCCACAGGCTTAGCGGAACCAGGAGTGGGAGGGCCCACAGGCTTAGCAGAACCAGGAGTGGGAGGGCCCACAGGCTT